AAGAAATAGGTTAAAAGAAAATATTTATTTTAAATATTTATTTATTTTAAATATTTATTTTAATATTTATTTTAAATATTATTTAAAATAATAAAATTTAAAATATTTAATAAAATTATAAATTTCGATGGCATTTTTGGTGTATTTTTTTTTATTATAATTCATCTTTAAAAAAAAATTTATATTTATCGATTGCAAATAAGTATAATTGATTTATTTATTATTATTAATTATTATTGATTATTGTTATTAATTTATTGTTATTAATTATTATTCGATTATAATTTAATAATTTATTTTGCAAATATAATTTTCAATCCTAAAATGTCGAGAATTATTGGAAGTTCGTCGAAATTTCCCCATTCTTCGATAGCGATTATAGGCGAATATATGGAAAAATAGCAATAAAATATCAATTCGACAATATTTGAGTAAATTCCAGAAAAAGAGAAATTATCGTACAAAAAGGACGAAAATTTGGCTAATTGCTTTCTATAAAAAACATTGTCGCCAACATGTCGCTTTTTATCTCCGATTGCCCAGCTCATCGCTATTATGTCGCACCATTCAAGCGACACTTTTTTGATGTGGTCGGTGACGTTTTCGATTCGCCGTATTGGCTTAATCAGCCCCTATTGAAACAGTGCAGTGTTGATAACACCATTGGCAAAATAAGTTTTTCTTTTTTGTAATATTTTTGACTTTTAAAATTTTGATTGATTTTTAAAATTTTTTTTTTTGAAATTATTTTAATGAATTGTTCAAGGAAATCAATTTTTTTTAGGTAATCGACGATAAAGAAAAGTTTTCCGTTGAAATTGACGTATCGCAATTTCATCCAAATGAACTCTCCGTGAATATTCGCGAAAACGAATTGGTCGTTGAAGGGAAACATGAAGAAAGAAATGACGAGAGTGGAAGTGTTCAACGTCATTTCATTCGTAAATATGAAATTCCACGCAATGTGCTGATGGATACAATTGAATCAAAACTATCGGATCAAGGAATATTGACCATTAACGCGAAGAAAGTACCATCGGATAAAATACCAGTTCGTAAAGTTCCAATTAAAACTTCCCCTCCACCAAACGCTAATCAAAATAAGGACAAATAAACCTTTTTGATTGCGTGGCATATTATTTTGCATATTCATTTAGTCTTATTTAGTTTGTATCGTTTCCCTTTAAGACTTTTTATTTTCTCTGCTTTTGAATGAATGAAATTTTTTTAATGGGTATATTTATGCCACAACTTTAAAAATTTTCACAACCAGGTCAAATTTTTAATTAATAATTCACCAAGAAACGCCAAAAAGAAATTTCTTTCATGTGGTTGGCCACACCACTGCTTACAACGGCTATTTTACCATTCAAAGTTTGTGGGTTAACTACCGAATATGAACTGAATTTAACAAAAATTCTTCCTTAAAGCATATTATATATTGCCTATTACCCTAATGTCCTATTAATGCTCAACTTTCTACCTCTGAACATCATAAGAACCATCACTTTTGCCCGAGAGCCCTCCATCTTCCCCGACACTGAATAGTATGCACCACTACTTACATATCCATTTGATTTCCCTTGCTGTAGATCAATTTTTATAAAAATAAAATTCATTAGATTTATTTTTTAGTATAAAATTTCCGCTTTTCACTGAATAATGCTCAACTTTCTACCTCTGAACATCATAAGAACCATCACTTTTGCCCGAGAGCCCTCCATCTTCCCCGACACTGAATAGTATGCACCACTACTTACATATCCATTTGATTTCCCTTGCTGTAGATCAATTATTATAAAAATAAAATTCATTAGATTTATTTTTTAGTATAAAATTTCCGCTTTTCACTGAATAATTAACGAACAACGACGTATAACTAATTAGTTAATTAATTTGAATTTTATGAAAAAAGTTGAAAATTCCGATAGAGGAAAATGAAAATTTATTATTTTAAAAAATTTATTCAAATTCAATTTATTATTTATTCAAATTTATATAATTGAAATATTAAATGAAATTATCAAAATAAAATTTTCTTATTTTCAATGAGTTTCATTTTACTTAAATAAAATATTCATTCGTTTATTCCATAATTTGATTTATTTACCTTCGTATAAACGATTGAATTTTTCCATCATTTTTTCCATTTTTTTCCATCATTTTTTCATTTTCCATCAATATAAATTTTATTAGTTATTATTCACCAAAAATAATAATTTTTAGATTTATATAAAAAAAGAAAATAGCGGATATAGTGGTGACAAGTGAAAAAAATTGTGATTTCTAAAGCCTTTAAACAAAAAAAAAGCTGAAAAAAAAAATTTAGAAAAAATTCATTGAACAGGCCAACAATAAGAGAAAAATTTCTTAAATAAAAAAAAAAGTAAGAAAGTGAGTTTTTCCAAAGGCTTAGAAAATTTTCAAATCTCAACCATGGAAATTCATTTTACTAGTATAAATACGATTAGTCCATAGTATTTATAGTATATAGTATAAAGCTTCAGATTTGCGTGAGACCGATTCATCGCAGAAAAATCTATATAGAAAAATTTTCTAAAAAAAACCATATAAAATGGAAAAATACGTTTATATGATTTATGAAAAATCAATTTAATATGAGTAGAAGAATGCAGATGAAAGGCTCTAAATTCATATTTCAATAACTAGATATTATATTATATTATATATATATATCATAGCTGAATTAAGAATTTTTGTTCTACACTGTTGGCTCTAATATAATGATAATGATAGTAATAATGATAATAATAATAATAATTGTTAATAGTTAAATATTAATAATAGAAAATAAAAATAAAATCGTTAAAAATCCGAAATATAAAATTACCACTGATAGGCATCAACATCAAACACAGTCATCAATACCATTAAGCTTTCACTCAATACTTTTTACAAAAGATAAAAAACAGAATAATTTATGATACAAATTATGATAGCTACAAAAACCTGATAACGATAAAAAATAGAATTGCAAATTGGAAAAAAAACAAATTACAAATTTCAAAAAAATTTTGATTAAAAAAATAGATGAAAAATAATATAAAAACATGAAATTTCTAATAAAACATAAAACTAAAAAAGTCCAAAACATGCAGAATTATAAAAAAAAATTTGAAATTATTAAATTAGAAGGCAATGAAAAAAAATATTACAGATACTTCTCAATTTATTTATACGATTCCAAGGTGAAGATTCCACTACTGCAAAAAATTTCACAAAAATTTCACAAACTTTTGTTCCTATTATCAAAATATTTGGTAAAAAATGCCATAAGGCATTCATAATTTTGAAAATAAAAAAACATCTTTATCTGTTCAGAGCAATTTTTTTCCAAAAAAAAATTTTCGACAATTTCTTAAAATTTAAAAGAAATTGTTAGAAAGAAATAAGATGAAGATTAATTAGAAAATTTCTATAATTTCTTAATTGAAGAAATCATCGTTGAAGGGATCATTACTGGCACCAGGACAAACAAGTGTTGGCACAGCACTGCGAGCAGGCATACATGATGTGCGATTATTAGCCATCGCTGCGATCGGCACCTTAGGTGGATTTAGTAGATCCTCAAATGGATTTTTCTTAATATCAGGACCCGACACAAGAGAATCCATATCCACAAGCTTCGTGAATGCTTCTTCAAGCGATGTCACTTTCCTAGGTTCCGTCCACTGAGATCTAAAAATATCGATCTATTTAGCATTTCATATTTTATTACATATTTAGCTTTTAGTCTACAGTTGGTGATAACTGCTAAAATCTTCTTCTTCATCTAACAGTTCTCACCATTACTGGCTGGTTCTAACGGATAAAAGGGTAAGGGACGCTTCCAAGTGACACGGTCTGATGCTATGTCAACAGTAACAGAAGTAATGATACTCCTTTTTCTATCATCTAAGTCCATATATTGCTGGCCCACTTATACAATCGAAATCAAAATCTTTTCTGACTGGAATTTATTAACTCCGTTAACTCCGCTGGTGGACGACGAGGAATGTCCCTAACCAGCAAAGGCGACGCTCTATGATAACATTATTTATGCAAGTGGTATATGAACGAAGGTGAATGCGACCACCACTGAACATATTTTAAAAATAATATTTAAAAATAAATTTCACTGAAATAAAAATACCTGTTCTCATTATGAGAAGGAGGAACAGAGTTTTCATTCGTCGGCCAATTAACTGAATTGATTTGACGCTGAGCAAGCGATTCTTTGATTATTTGTTGCGCCGAATGAGTATCAAAAGGATCTGATGGCATGGCACCATTTTGACCATTATGTTGGGCAAGGTTGTAAGAAAATGAAAAAGGATTCGTTTCCTAAAAACCGCAATTAAAAAAGAAACATAGTAAACGGGAAAAATAAGGCTTGAAAAGAATTTTTTTCGATTCACTGATTACATAAAAATCCAAAAAAAAACCTATCTCATATATATTGATATTATCGACTTCTATAAAAAGACAAAAAAAAAACGTACTGAAAACGGTATACTTTGAAAATTCGGAGCTGAATGAACACTGCTTATATGAGGCCATGCACTGGCCATCTGATATGAAGAAATAGCAGAAGGCAAAGCAGAATTAGGATTAAACGAATCGCCGAATGGATCAACTGGTGTATTACTGAATGCGGTTGGAATTGCTCCATAAGGTGCAAATGCTGGAGGCGGAAAGGATGGTTGCAATGTTGTGGAAAATGCATCAGCGTTCGGCCAAGAATCCTCAGCAAATGTAGGAATATTTTGAAGCTGATTAACACCCTGTTCAATATTATGCAATTCAGATTCGAGATCAAGCAAATCAGCAACTGCTACCCCATTATCAATTCGAACGCCATTTTCAACAACCGGTTGATCCTAGAAACAGGTTAAGTATACTCCCTAATATATTTCTTATGGAATAAGAATAGTAATAAAAAGGGATGAATGGACAACAAAGTACCTTTTTCTGCTGTTCCTCTTGCTTCTGTTTGACTTGAGCCAGATGTGCCTTCTTCATTTCGAATACTATTTGGAACATATCGCGAATCGATAATACAGCTCTATCAGCCGTCTGCGCAGTTTTAATGCCTAGAAATAAGCAATTAATTCATAAGAGAGCGCCGATGTTGAAGTTCTAAACCGCGCTGTAGTAAACTTGTATAAAAATCCGGGTAATGCTGGCGATTCATCTGTATTTCTATCTCCAAGGCACTCCCTTTACAATATTTTTATATAAATTTCATAATCATATAAAAATTATATAATTCAACTAAAAATGAAAATTGTAGTTATATATGATAAATATTGGAATCATTAGAATAAAATATAAAAGAACTTTGATAATTTCCACACGTGCAAAGTCCATTATTGCAATCAATAAAAGTTGCATCTGATAAAGCAAATTTATCAGTGCGGCAGTGCGATAATAAAATGGGTTTATAAAAGAGCACGAATTTGCAGGATGTAAAAGTTTTCAAAAGAGAAAAAGTAGATAATAATTTCCATCAATTATAATAGTATATTTTAAATCGATGTGTTTCAAATAATTTTCTATAATGTCGAATGGAAACATATGGGAATATTTTTTTGACATATGAAATTTTTGAAAAGCAAATTAGAAATCTCTTTCTCTCTCTCTATTAGCATGGTACGACCGAAAATGAAAAATAGCCAAATAAATGCTCTTAGTCTAAATGATTGATAGGCAACTAAGAATAGCGAAACTAACCATAAAATTTATATTTATTGTCAGATGCGCCAAAAATGAAACCAAAAGCTCGAGCATCGGTTGTATCTCGAGCAATAAAGGATATTCTTGAAACTGGGAAATTATATAAAGTCATCTAAAAAAAAATAGTTTAATAGGACTTAAAAATCGCTCTAATCGAATCAAATTTGCAAAAAATATGCTACAATGAGTTAAATAAATTTATAAGGAATAAAATTACCTGCGATTTTTCATCCTTAATTTTTAGGCCATCGATTGAAATATTTAAAACGATTCTTTGTTTATGCTGGCCTGAACTTTTCACAGCGGCTTTAGCTAATCGCATAGCTTCAGCACACATTGTATCACCTCGAGCTTCGGTAACGTCTCGTACACCAATAAATTTACCCTTGAAATCAACGCCATCACCTTGGAACCGGAATGGATCATTATTAATGGTCGCTGAAATGAATTTTTTCTATCATTAATGATAAATTTTTATATAATTTGAAAAATAAAGGATAAAAAAATAAAAAAAAGGAAAAAGCGAATATCTGTTAGTGAAATACGAATTCTCCATAGGATTCCCTTGAAAACATAAAAATTTATTAAATTCAATCTTACCACAGGGAATATGGCTAAAAATAGCCAATATAAATAAAATCTGACATTTAGCGTCATTTTCCAAAAAGAAACCAAAAACAAGAAGTGGAAATAGGAGTGAAAAAGTTATGTTTTTTTATATAAAAATTATGCTTAAAAATTCCATCTATCAAGCTTCATTGCAAAAATAAATAAAAAGACATACCTTTCGATTTGGTGGACGATCTTTTAAGCATAGCTAATCGACTTTTCGGTGATCCAGGAGAACCAAATGAACCGTTCTCGGTACATAAATCCGATGTGCTTTCCTTCATTCGCTGTTGACCAACCATTTTCTTGAACTCTTAAAATAATTTTCATTAATAAATCTAAATAAGAAGTGAAATAGAACGAAAAACGCTACGAAAAAAAATTTCCGACCAAAAAATGATAATAAATTCCGAAGCAACGCTATATGTTGAAATAAATAAAATGAAATGATTTTATTTATAAAAATGAAACAGAAATATTTTTTTTTGCCACACTCATACTATTTGCAATGATGTGGTAGTAATTCGTTTTACTTATAACAGTTAACTAATAGGCAAATATTGTGATTTTAAAGATAAATAAACTATTGGCTATAGGAATAAATAAAATCTTTCTTTACAAGTTAAGAACGAACTTGTTTTAGCAATTAAATTTAAAAAAAGAAAATTAGTCCAAGTGATTAGCTACGTTTCTCAGAGTAATTACAAAAATCAATCATTAATGCATCATTAAATAAATCACTATCCATAGAAATAAAAAAGAATAGAAAAGAAATGATCTGTGCTGACACGAATACGAGTGAACTACTACTGATCGTTATTCTTCTCTCGTTATTAAAGAAGAAAATCTCTTTTAAACGATACCAAAAAAAACAAATAATGCAATAAAAAATATTGTCTATTGTCAATAATTTTAGCAAAAATATTATTCAGTTCATCTAAAAACTATATGCTAAAATAACTATGAAATAAATTTATAAAATGACAAGAAAACGTGAAATTAAAAAATTGATAAAATTCCACGTCACCACGTGAAAAAACTATCCATAAAAATGAATTTTTAAAAAAAGACGCATTTCAAAACAGCAATCACTAAACTTTCTAAAATTTCAACCCTCAATCATCAAAAAAACCCTTAAAAAATTGCTATCTTTAAAACAAAATTAAAAACTTAAAAAGTTTTTTAAAAGACCGCCTTCATCGCGATTCATGTATTATATTGCAAACAAAAAAGCGATATAAATCCAGATTTACACGTTTCGATCAATAATTATAAACACCCTATAAAATAGCTAATAAAAATATTTTATAAAAAAAAATAAATAAACAAACAAAATTAAACGAATTGCTACCGCTCAACGCAATTGATTCAACATAAAAATGCACTTTAATTGAAAAAAAGATTGCCGATGAAACGATATTCGGACGATTTGCGGCAGCCGTCGGCGAAAATAACTGCAAAAATTCTTTTTTTTGATTAATTCTTCTTTATAATAATAATTTTAAACAAAAATGATAAAATGTTAAAATGAAAATTAAAAGAGAAAAGAATAGAGAGAGAAAAGAATGAAAGCCAAGAAATTAACAGTGAAAATAGAATTAAAAATTTTCACCATAATAAAACATCAATCATTCATTTACAAAATTTTCTATCATTCTTTGTTTTTCAACACCAATTATTTATCAGCATTTTTAAATAAAATAAATAACAATTTGCAATTAACGAAAAATAAATCCTTTAAATATCAACCGATAAAATAAAAATAAATAAATTTAAAAAAACGAAATAATTAGAAAAATTTTTTAAAATCATAAATTATAGAACGTAAAACGAATTTTATTTCATCTTCCTCATTCAGAGCACCGATTTCATTTTCCAGAGGAGTGAACCTGTTCAAAAATCCGATGACTGCTGGTGACTCACTTTCACTTCCATCGTCAAAGGACTCCCTGGTATATTTGTCCAGTAAGACAAGCCAGTGAAGCTAGCTTAACCAATAATGGTGAGTGAGGGCTTTTAAAAGAAGTTTATATCCTTAGAGAGACTGAATTGATTAACACGGTTAGAAACGATTCCTATTCCTATTAAATTAAAATATTTTCAAGAGTGAAATTAAATCAAGCGAGGAATGATCGAGTAGAAAATTGCTTTAGGCTCATTATTTCTTTCCTTCTAAAAAATAAATTCGTTGTCAAAAACAATTTCTGAGCGAGGCTGAATATATATATATACCTATAATTTTCCAAGCGGCCCTCCATAGAAGAGAATCTCACTCTAATAGTTAATGGAATTGGACAAACCAGAAATGGTACATGTTGCCAAATAGCAAATGTAAAATGGTCAAAAAACAGAGAGTATATATAAATGATGACCGATAAAAAATAAATGATTTTTTGTCCCTTGTTCATGCTATAAATTATGCATTAAAATTCATAAAAAATAAAAAGAAAACGAATCTTTATAGTATAATAATTTCTAAAACAAAATAACAGGACATGAAAAAAAAATCAAATTATTAAATAAAAGCTAACAATTTAACAATTTACTTTCAAAAATCCAACAGCTGTTAAATAGCTTTCTTGGATGCAACCATCTAAATATTTATTTTAACAATTTTTAATTTATCTTTTCTCCAAAATTTTTATTTTAAATGAAATTACTTTTATAAAAAAAGCTAGGTAAAATTTCTTAAAATTTCTTATAATGCTTAACAATAAGTTCGTAAATGTAATCATTATCTTACCCTGGCTTTTCGTTTCTCAAAATGATTATTTAGATATTTCTATTACTAATATAGCTGGGAATAGTAAAAAGATTTATTTTATCCGAATAACTTACGCCTTTACCTCAAAGTGAATCTAATAGTTTAAGCCTTCCGACGCATGCTATATCCAGTTCAGTGATACGTGTAATAAATAAGCGCACTAAGGCTAGCAAGAAGAAAAACGATCAAAATACGTCAATCCTACAAACCAATACAGCGGCTCAAAATTTGCTCAGTGCTGAGAAAACCATCTCGCAGAATCAAATTAAAAAATAAATATGCCAGTAAACACCACCAAAAAGTACTACACTACAAGCTAAAAAAAAAAACAGAAAATAAATGCGGCGAGGACTTGACTATTATAGAAATTTAAGGAAAAATGGTATAGCGAGTGTATGTTTGAAAAAACTCGATCAATTCTGACTACATGGATTAATGACCAGATAGTCTAAAATTGTTTCAAAATAGTAACTTCTGCAATATATCCGCCACCAGTGTAGGTACTCCCCTTTATAGATTTTTTTTAACAGCCCTCACCATTATTGGTTAGATTCACTTCGCTGACTTATTATTATACTAAACAAATATGCTTTAACAACAGAATTACAGTTGAGTCGCCAGCATAAAAATTTTTGGATAGTTTACTTCTGCGGGGATTAAAACTTCAACATCGGTCCGAATTGAGCAGCAACCCAGTGATTCACCCTACTCTCCACTTTATAGCTAACCGAAGTTCAGTAATAGTGGGAAAAAAACCACTGTTATTGGAATAAAATGGTCCTGGGCCCGGACTGTTCGAGCAAGCAATACTCAAAAAATTTCAGCTTTTTCGTAAAACACCCATGACATAGGAGATAGCAATTAAAATTGACGAACCTGTAATGGAATACCTGTTAAAACCGTCTCTCACCATGAAGGGATTTAAGACTATAGTTTAAACTTAGCGACGACACACTATTTTTTACCTCGGACATATGCTCTCGTGAGTCATATAATGGCAACTGTGAGCAACCGACACAGCTAGAAATAATTTCTGTTATTTAGAAACTCAGAGCCAATAAATTCTCATACAAAAATCTCTGGGCTGAATCTTCAAATCTTGTTCACCGATGGACTCATTGGTATGGAAGGAAGAACTAGTACCACGACAAGCAATCCTGTCCCCAAGCAACAGGAAGGATAAAAAGAAGGATGATATGAATATTATTGAGGAACCAATCTCTCAATCTTAGAGAAAATTCTTGCCTTCTTTCTGAATAGACTTACGGCAGTGCGAAATAGCAGAATGAAACACAATATTGAATTCAGATTAATGTATGGCTAAATATTCCAACCAAATTGTTAAGAACAAAATTGCTTCAAATATCAGCAACCAACCACCACTTGCTTTATTGATTTTGCCATTAAATTCTGGAAAAAAATTCCATCTCGCAATTAGAATTTTCTTCTATATTGCCTTTATAGAATTCCCCTGAAATCAACATCATAAGTCTATACAGCGCAAGTGCGTATAAACATCTGCGAAACCAATAAGAGAGTTAGAAATATCAGGAATTTATCTACTTTTAATAATAATAATAAAAATAATTTTGTTCAAAGTACATTTTAAATGGCAATAGAGCGGATAAAATTTCAAATGACTGCATTCATTTTTCCTATAAAACCAGCTGCATTAATGTCATAAAGTGCCGTTATGGCACGTTCTTCGCTATCCACCACATGAATTTACGCATATCTTATTACTTTTCAAGTTATGGCGGCTAGTATAAAGACCTGGATTTTTTAAGTGCATAAATGCTATATACGGCCTAGCTAGATAGTAAAAAAATAATGGATTTATATATATAATTATAGAAAGTACAGCATTGAATATCGCCAATTATAAGACTAAAACTAAAACTAAAACTTTCCATATATGCAAAATTTTTTAAAATTATCGTTAATCAATTTGAATTCTCCCCGTTTTACCATTCTTATTACTTCATAACTTCGAGTATTAACATAATTTTATATATTAAATATAAATATTTCTATTCGAATAAAATATTTGAAATGGATAAAACAGAAATAAAATCTTGAGAAGTGAAAATTTGGCTTCGCACATATATCATCCTCAAAATAAAAAAATTTGAAATGAACGCAAATCCTAATGCAAATTCCAAAAGAAAAAAAAAAACTCACCAATAATTGCAGCAGTAAAAATTTATGTTTACTGAAATCTTTAAACTGCTAAATAAACAAGGCAGAAAAATTTACCAACATCAAAAAATCTACTTGAAGATATACTATTCATTGAAAAAACATTCCCACTGCGAAAAAATATTTCCGAAATATTTTCGATTAATCAAGAAACACTGCAATATCTGAGAATTAAAATGAAATTCGCTAATTTTTCCAACTGCGTTGGATTTTTATACAATCGAAAATTCGATAAACCTAAGAGTTTTTAAAAGTGCTTGAAAAAATTTATGGCAATTCTATGATTCAAAATATCTTTCTTCCTTTCGTTCTCGAATTCTCGATTTCCACATCGAAAAA